AGGGTTTGAAGGTACCCTTAGCCTGCCAAAGGCCAGCAGCGGGACAGGGGCAGGAGCCAATGAGCGGCTGCTGGGCAGGAGACACCCCGAGCTGTGCAAACTCCCGCCTTCGCTCTCGTGTTGCAGCTGCCCCTGTTTGTGGATGGGAAAATGTTGTAAGGACCGGGCAGTGAGAGGCAGCGGCAAATGGGGCTCCTCCGGGTTACACCATCCCCCGCACATCGTGGGTCCCCAGCAGCCCCCCGCGCTGGGACAGTCACCCCGTGGCACCGACATTAAACGCGGCCCCAGGGAGAACTTGTGTGGGGCCCCGGGGAAGGGGGCTCTGTGCTGGCCCGGGGCGGGGGGGAAGCCGAAGCGGAAGATGCCCCCGAGGCTTTCCCGAAGTCCTCCCCTAAAGCAGCCTTCATTCATATGTGTCGTTCTGGGAGGCGCCGCTCCCCACGGGGCAGGAGTGGTTAGCAATGCCGTGCCACTGGGTTTCACTGAGTTGCTGTGCTTGGCTCCTTTCCATGAGCTCTGGTTTTCTTTCTCCTCAGCCCCGCTTGGCACTCGGCTCGGCCTTGTCCTTCACCTGAAGTCACCCAGCGCAGGGACCTCGTGTCGCTTTACCTCCGTGCTCTCTGTGTCTGGTGGCTCCTGATCAGCCATGTTCCCTGGGGGCTCCTGCCTCCCCTTCCTCCTCCGTTTCTGATGGGAGGGCTCTGTCGTGCTTAGTGCCAGCAAGGAGTGAACCCCTGGGAATGTATCACTGGGCAGCATGGCCCCTCACTCCCCACAAGCCTGGATGGAAACTGCTCTCAGGCTGGTGTCCACAGGGCTGAGAATGTGGCCTCTTGAGCTGGAGGGGGCTTGGGGTAAAAAAGAGTGGCTTCAGAGTACACGTGGGTGCTGGTTGGGCTCCTGGCTCTGAGCTCCAGCCTGTATAGCTGGGGCTGTGCTCATTCAGAGGTTGCCATTCCCATTCCAGCATCCCCACGCATCATCTGGAGCAGTGCTCCGCTGTGTCAGCAAAGCCCCTTGTGCACAGGTACCATATCTGCCTACGTCATGGAGAGACTCCCATTCCCCTCTCCAGAGTGTACCCGTGCCACCAAACTGGGCTTGCCACAGCACTCTTTCCATGGAGCAGAGACTCACTCAGGCTGCTCCAGCCCAGGAGAGGAGCCCATGGCCAGCACTGAGGCTGGGAAAACACACACACATGGGGTGATGATGTACAGGGCTCCATTTTGCCCTATTCTGCAGCCTGCCCCTCTCCAAAACTGCAGCCTTTTGCTGTGGAGCTAAAGCCATGCAGTTACTGCAGAGGAAACCTGTGAAGAGAGAAATGTGGTGGCAAAGGAGTATGAAGGGGGTTGTGGATGAGCTATTGAAACAGATGGGAATTTCCCGGAGCAAGCAGCAGAGTCCAGGCAGCACAGGGAAGGCTCCTGCGCAATGGCTCATGCTGCCCACCAGCAGTGTGGGATGCCCATTGACTCCTTATGGCGTTCCAGTGATTCACTTGGCCACAGGAAGCAGCACATGGCCCTTCTGCCTGGGGATGAGAGCCCAGTAGCATCTCTCGCTGTATCTGAGGGAAGGAGCCCTCTGTCAGAGACCCTGCATGGCTCTTTCTGCACTGCCTGACATCCCTCCATGGAGAATCCAGCCTGTAGCCAGCCACCAGCATGCAGGGACCAAAGGGCGCTGCACCAAATGGCATGTGTCCCTTGTGCTGACTCTTCTGCAGTGGCTGAACTCTGCTTCCCCGCTGCACTGTGTCACTGGTGGCTCTCACACTGCACTGATGGTGTCTGTCACAGCATACTGATGCCACCCTGCTGTCCCCTCGCTGGCCTGCCTTGTCCCTCTGCCTCCGATCCTGGTGGTGCTGCTCGGCCTCTCCTCCCTGCTCATCCCTGCCTAGCACCAGGAGCTGGGGTGCCTCCTCCATCCCCATCATCCTGCTGCCGGATACTCCTCTGCTCTGCTCCATGGGAAGAGCAAGGGGCAGGGGGGAGGCTGGCTGAGGCCCAGATTGACCTCATCCTCCTCTGCTGATGCTGGCTCCAAGCAAGGCAACTCCTCCTGCCTCTCCCTGGAGGATGCTCAGAGTCTGGGGGCTGCCATCACAGTTTCCTCTTCCTCTTTCTGTTTAACTGTCTTCTCCTGGAGACACGCCATGATCATCAGAGCAGATCCCAACCCCCTGCACCATCTGAGCTGGCCAAGAGAGTAAGCAATGAAGGGAGCTGCTTTGGATCCCCAGCGCTGCCGAGCAAGGACTTGCTGTTCCTCAAGCAGCCGTTGCTGGCAGGGATGTCCATGGGCATCTTCCTGCCTTGTGGATCCCAGCCCAAGGCAAGCACCAGCCAGGCTGTCCCCGTCTGTCCCCAGGCCCCCATCCATAGCTTTCTCTCCACACCACATCCCCTGCCCTCCTCACCAGCTACCCAAGCATCCCCCATGGTGATTGGCCGTCATTGTCCCCACGTACTGCACCCCCAGCCTGGGCCCCAGTGATGGGAAGGGGCTGGTTGTCAGATCCTGGCTCCCCCTGACAGCAGGCACTGTTGTTAGAGCACAAACCCCTTGCCAAGCATCCCCTCCTGCTCCCTTTGCCAACCTAGTGAGCAGAGCTGCCCGCAGCACTTTGGGGATGGGGCTGTGTGCTCAGTGGGGCTGGAAGCTGGGGTGCCAAGGCAGCAGTCACTGGCACATCTCCTGGACCTGCGCAGACACCACTCTGCTGTTGCTCAGCACCTCAGGACCATGTCTCTGGGCAGGAGGCACTTCAGCTCTAGCCAGCACTATAAATAAAACCACAGTCTTTAATCCCGCCAAATAGGTTCTCATTGATTTTACCTATTCCTCCTCCTCCCTCCTACATCCCTTTGATATGTGAAGTCAGCTGCAGAGGAGCTCAGGGAGCTGCCAGCCTGGCAGGGAAAATGCCACACACACCCCCCCCCCCCCCAAGGCCCTCTGCCCAAAGATAGCTGCTCTCCCCTGGTTTTTGGTCTCTGAACCCACAGCACCGCTGAAGGAGGAGAAACAAAGCTCCCCAGTGGAAGTTTGCTGGCTAATTATTTATACATGTCCTCCTGATAGTGCAATTGCCAGCAGTGAGGCAGCCCTGAGCCCCCCACCATGGGGCAGAGGATGAGGAGGAGGATGGAGAGCTCTGCTGATGGGGCCTTCTTGCTGTGGATCACAATGAGGTGCTCGTGGTGAGCCAGCACATCACTTCCTTCTCCAGCTGCTTCAGTTGTGGTTGTACCAGTGACTATGATAAGGGGGGCCCATCTCAGAGGCCCCTGGTCCCCATTATGGGAAGGGTTGAGGGCTGGTCCCAGAGTGGTCCCTAGTCTCTTACAGGTGATGCTCAGGCTTCCCCCGGACCAGGCAGTGTGTGAATGCCTGCTTGCAGCAAGCAGTCACTCTGCATGCAGGAGCTCCCTGCGCAGAGATGCTAGCAACAGAAATAATGCAGCAAAATCACAGCTCCCTCAGTCTTCCTGGCACTTGAAAGCATCTCAAGAGCTTAAAAAGCTGCAAGATGCTCTCATTCCCATCCTTTCCCTGATATCCTTGCTGCTCACTGCTCACTTTGGGGGGGGGGGGGGGAACGACAGTGTGCAGCACTTTCCCAGGCACACGGTACCAACTTGAGCACGGCGAATCCTGCCCGCGCCATGCAGCAGGGAGGCTGCGTGCTGCCCGCCGGAGCGGGGCTGCGGGTGACTCATCTCCATGCAGTATGCAATTACCACGGCAAGAGCAGGGCCCTGCTGTTCTGCACAGGTATCTGTGTCAGCCAGGGCTATTTCCAGCTCGCTCCACACTCCCGGCTCCTTGGAGAGGTAAGGAATACAGCCGCCTCGCTCCTCTGCCTGCAGCGAGGATGGGCATGATATTCTTATGAGCACAGAGCCAGGGGGTTGGATGTTGCATCCAAACATCCCAATTGCACAGTGCGGGGAGGAGGGAGTGGTGTGGATTTAAGGGCGCACACACATAGTCCAAACGAGGGCACCAGGAGATGCAGCGAGGCTGCACAGCTCCCGTTGACACCAGCTGAGTGCCAGGCAAGGAGAATTTAGAGCTGTTATTATTAGCGATGCTGGTAGCGCTGGAAAGGAGGCAGCAGAGATGGGATAAAGCAGACTTTGGAAAATGCTGTGGCCTGGAAAGGGAGGGGGGAGACCAGGATAAAAGGAGCAAAGCAGTGTGCGGCAGCACTTTCTCCCTTGATGGAGTGGATCACTGCAAGCTCTGTGGGGCAGCATCTCTGTCTCCCAGTCTGTGCATGCAGCATGCACCATCCTCCATCAAGCTGCTCAGCCAAACCACACTCAGAGAGTGAGGTTTTTGATTCCCAAAATGTTTGCCTGGGACTTTGCTCATTACTCTTCCCTCTGGTCACTGTGAGCAGGAAGTGGGGAAAGCTTAGGCATTGAGTGCTGTCTGGATGAGCTCCAAGCGAAGGGCTACAACCTTCCAGCCACAAGCCTCGTCCTGCAGGCTGTGATACGAGGGAAGCTTGCATATGTGACACCAATGTGCCTGGGCCACTCTGTGCCCATGCAGAGTGGTGCAGTGATGACATTGCTGAAGCCCCAGGGACAGCCTAGACCCTACATCAGGGTACACCATGTGCCCTGTTTAATTGCCCTGGCGATGAGCGAGTTCATCACCCTGCTGGGCACGCTGGAGGCAGGCAAGGATGATAACGGCTGAAGGAGGGATGGATACAGAGCCAGGGGCTGGGAGGGCTCCATGCACATGCCCACCAAAGCCTGGCTTGGGGTGAGCATGAGGCTGCAATCAGACCTCCTTCCAGTGTGGGTTGTGTCCCCTGAGGACAAGCCACCGGGCTGCAAGTGGCACTGAGAGCCTCCATCCTTCCCACACTCCCTTGGCAGAGCCCCCGACATGGGAGAACTGCTACAGTTTTTATGTTGGAAACATCCCATGAATCACCCCTAGGGCCTCCTCCCCGGCCTCTGTCACAGTTTGCTGCCCCGGTGCCAGCTTCGCTTTAAAAGCATTATTTATGTCTAATAAAAGCTGAGCTAAGCAGCGGCATTGTCGGGATGGTAAAAATAAACCTGCAGTGGTTGTCACAGCTGCCGGCATTCCTGGGAATGTGGGGCTGGCAGAACCCCCTCCAGCCTGCACTGCCACACGGGCAGAGCAGGAAACACCCAGCAGTGCGTGGATGTGCAAGGGAAAGCAGTGCCTGCTGGGGGTTAATACACAGGGGCACTTCTTGTTACTTCCTAAATGTTTAAGAGCTTTCATTTAATTTATTGCATGCATAAATGAGCAAATATGACATAAACAATGTTGGGAAGGAGTTTGTTAAAGCCGCTTCATCAAAAGAACTATGTGCTATTAAAATATCTATGTTGCAGTGCACTGATACCACATTAGCAACAGCAATAAGAAATGCTGTTTGTCCAGATGAAACTACATTTCCAGGGCATGGACCTGGCAGCATCGAGGCGGTGCAGGGCTGAGACCATAAACCACGGTGCATGGTGACATCTCTGCTTGCCTGGGGAGCCGTGGTGCATCACAGGGCAGTGCTCCATGTCCCAGGCTTGCAGCCAAGCTGGGATCTTCACACCCAGGTTGTCCCTGGAAAAGTCCAGCCCTGCAGCAGTGTCCCATCAGGCAGGGGAGCGGGAAGTGAGCAGGAAGCATGCAGGAAGCAAGCGGGAAGCATGCAGGAATCATGCAGGAAGCAAGGAGGAAACAAGCAGGAAGCACGCAGGAAGCACGCAGGAAGCAAGCAGGAAGCATGCCCTGCTCATTTCCTGAGCATCTCTTCTTCCCCTGCTATTCCTTCTGTCAGATGGGAGTAAAGCTTTACCTGAGGTCCCAGGGATAACCCATCCCAGCTCCATGCCACTGCAGCTCTGGCCATCTCCATGGCTGGACAAGGGCAGGATGCTGCTCCAGGGCTCCTCTCAAGAGCAGTTTCTCCCCAGGTTTTCCAAACCAGCCCTGTTTGAAGGCACGGGCCCTGTTTCGGCTGTGTTTGAATGCTGCCTGGCCAAAGCAGAGAGCAGCCACGGCTGGGACAAAACAAAACCAGCATTCATGGGCGGTCATTTAAATTCCCAGCAGCTGATCCCTCCCGGCACGCTCATGCCCGCCCTCCTTTGCTGTCCACAGGCACTGTCCTGGGCTGTTTCCGTGGGTGATAGAGGAGCGAGTCTTCCAGCAAGTTCAACACAGCCAGCATCCCTCCTTCTCCTTGTCCTGCCTCCTAAAACTAAGTGGTCACCTCCGGGGGAAAGGTAGTTGGGGGCTGCTCCTTGCTTGTGGGGGGCTAAACCCAGTGGCTTCACACTGGGTTTCAACCCCCCATGATGCCTCCTCCCTGCCTGGTGCAGTGGGTCATGCAGGGCTGCCTGGATCCTCAGCCTCACATGCTTGGCCCCTGCACTGGTTACTGGTGCCCCCCGCCCGCCCTCATTCCCATTTCCCGGTTCATTCCCATGTCCCCATGGTGGTCCCTCACGCCCTGAGGCTGAGCCATGCCGCAGGGTCATCCACGCAGCCCACCTTCAGCACCACACCACATGGCTCCATGGAACATGGCCCCTGTGCCAAAGGACACTCAGCCCCTGGGGCAGGGCTGCAGACAGCTGTGCACCCCCGGACACCCCATAAACCCACTGTGATGGGTTTGGGGCTTTGGTGCAGCCACGGGACCCCAGCAGGAGCCAAGCGGTGCCTTGGGGCTCCTCGTGCGCTCACATGAGCAGGCAATTGCTGGCGCGTGTCCTGCTGTGGTTGTTTAACCCCAGCCCTGCTTTCCCACGCGGCTGCCGGCATGAGGGAGCAGGCAGCGGCACGCCGGGCACCGCTGCGGTTCTCCAGCCGGAGACAGGCAGCCGCTGGGGAGAGCTGGTGGTGAAACGCTGCCTGCAGCCCCAGTGCAGCTGCGGGCAAGGGTGAGCTTAAGGGCCTCAGTCCGGTTCCCATTCCCATGGCGGAAAGAAGTCACAGATCAGCACGGACCGGCTGGGATGGAGTGAGCAAGCTGCAACCATGTGGAAGGCACAACATGCTGGGGATGTGCCCATCCCAGGGCAGAGGGTGCTGCACTGGCAGCAAGGATGGGTGCTGCAGAGGGAGGAGAGGGACACGTTGCTCCTGCTGGGTGTGCACAGCATGCCCAAGCCTGGGTGGGAATGCTGCAGTGGTTTCATGTAGCTGCAGCCCGTCAGCAGGGCATGTGGCTGTGCCATCCCGGCTGGAGAGCTGTATCCACAGCAAGTGCATGGGGTGCTGCGGGGCAAGCTGAGCTCCATGAGGTGGGAGCCGGTGTCTCACTCCTGCCCCTGTGACCTGTATGGGGCTGGAGCAGACCTATGGCTATGGGAAGGCTGGAGGAGAGAAGACGCCACTTAAAGCCCCGAGGAACGAGGGCTCTGATTTCAAAAGCTGAAGTGAGGGTTTTGATCTGTATTTGCTCAGTGAGTTAATGGCTTTATTTCTGATTTGATGCTCTTGTCTCTGATGACTCAGGCACGAAAAGGGAGAGCAGATATGAGCAAAGAGGCCCGGGCAGAGGGATGCTGGTGGCTGCTCAGTGCCCAAAGTCCCCCAGCATGGATCCCTTCCAGGAGATTTCAGAAATGCTGTCAGCAATGGGAGTGGGACTGCGGGCACAGAAGGGCAGCAGCTTGGGGAGGTGAAAGGAGAAGCAGCCATCCCCGATAAGAGATGGCTCTGCCCCATTATGGCTATGGCAGTTGCATTAACAGGAGAGCTAGGTATGATACAGCCCAGATCGTGCTGTACTGCCCTGTCCCTCTGACCTCGTCCTCTTCGGAGAGGAATAAACCTCTCTGATGGGAGGAGAGGAAAAAACCTCTCTGATGGGAGGAGAGGAAACCTCCTCCTTCCCCTGACACCTCCAGCAGGAACCTGTGTCTGCCTATCCCTTGCCCCAGCCTGGGGTCATTAATCAGTCCCAGAGCAGCCCAGCCCCTCCTGCCTGCATTTCTCCATCACGAGAAACAAACAGATGTGTTTAGCCTGAATTATCTGGTTTAGATTGGGAGGGCAATCCCAATCTCACTGCACCCTGTTCCCCCCCGAGCCTAAACAAAAAGCTGTACAAAACACACATTTTCTTTGGTGAGGTTTCTCCTCTGCCCCATCACTTGCTTCCAAGTTCATCAAGCCCTGCAGAGACGTGAGCAGAGCTCTGCAGCTGGAGGGCTAACATCTCAGCTCTTCCAAATAAATAGAAAATGACCCAGTTTCTTTATTTTTCTCTTTTCCCACAGTTCAAACACCCAAAAGATGAGGCTGTAAGTGGAAGCCACAAATAGATTTCATGAGGTGGGAGATGAAGCTGGGGAAACATCTCAGATACAGTGGCAGCACATCCTCCCCGGGGCTAGCTTTGGGTCTGACCCCAGCTCAAGTGCCACGTTGCCTACCAAGTGCTTAGGAAAGCTGTCACTCCCTGTCCAAGCCCAAAGGCTCTGCTGCTCTCTGCCCACAGGCACAGTGGGGTTTGGACCAGGCAAGGTCTGGGCCTGGCTGTTGCAGGTGGGATGTTGTTTCATTGGTCTGGTGCTCCAAGGAACATCTCAATGCCATGGTACAGCTTCACAGCTCCAGGCTCTGCTGGCAGTGCATCTGCATGCACCTCAGCTTCTACCAGGGAATGGCTTAGAGTGCAGGAGCCCCTCTCTCCCTAGTTTGCTTGAATGATGCCAAGGGGGCTCATATGGTCCCTGCACCCCTTGGGGACCAGGATCTTCCGAGGCAGGGTGGGAACCTCCCCAGGAATGCTCCCATCAGCTTTTCTCCAAGTATTGAGGTGAGCAGCAGAAAGTGCCCAGCCTCCCACTATTCCTATCACGTCCCATCTGGAGACAGAAATCTGCCTGCTGGCTTCACAATTAAAATTGAAATGATTTGATTATGGGGCTTCATTAGTAAAAAACAAACACCAGACAGCCTTCCCCCATCCGCGCCCAGCCGCTCCTCCCCGGGGCTGTTTGAGGTAAATCCCAGCCAGGATGCGGGCTGGGCACACAAAGGGGGTTCGTGCCTGTAGCTTGTAGCTATAGCTGGGTGCAGCCCAAAGGAGGCAAACTTTAGACTCACAAATCACCTCTTTCAGGCAGAGATGTCTCAGATTGACGGTAGGTGGACTGCTGCCTGACAGTGAGTGTAGCGATGGCTCCGGCAGCAGCAGGAGGTTTCCCACACTCACAGACCGTACTGGGGGGGTCCCACAGCTCTTGGGGCTTCTGATTTCCACTTTGACTCCCTTCCCTTCACCCTGTCTTTGTCACGGGGCCATTTGCACCTTCACACCAACCTGGACTTGCCTTTGCCAGGTCTGTTTCCCCTTCCTGCAGCTGGCTCATCCTTCAGGGAAGGGCTGAGCCAGCATGGAGCAGGCTGCCTGCGGTGTGTGCAGATGCTCGAGCCCCTGAAGCTGCGGCAGTTCTGGGGGAAGTAATTCAATTAACACTCGGGGCATGGGGAACAGGCTGTGCAGGCTGGGAGAGGAGGAATGCTGATGAAGGAGGGCTTGGGAATGCTGCTGGGTTAGAGTGCTGCTCGCCCCGCTGCTCCCAGAGCCTGGTTTTCTCTAGCAGATGGGATGGCTCTGGGCAGTGGGGAGGTGAGGTGGGAATTAAGCAGCCTTTCTGCCTCCAGTGCATGATGCAAGGGGAGAGCTTTGGAATGGCTCCTGATGCTGAATTGGTGGCCTCTGTTCCAGCAAAGGGCTGCCTTCGGGGTCTCCCCAGAGCCACAGTAGGGCCATGCTTCTGGTGAGCAGCCAGCGTGGCTTGGAGCTGGCTGAGAGTAAGCCAAGGTGCCTGCAGAGCACAGCCCAGGACGTCTGGGGCCCAGGAGCACCTTTAGCCCTCCCTGTACAATGAGGGAAACCCGGGCATGGAACTGCAGGGCTGGAGGCTGTAGCCACAGGGCTCAGGCTGGCTCAGGAGCAGGATCAGCAATGGCAGCTCTGGCTGTGGCAGGGGATGATGGCAGAGCCTGGGGGCACGCATGGATCACACACACAGCTTCTCCCTGGGGCATCTGCTTGTGTTCATCTGCTCTCACACAGGGACATGAGCAGAGGTGAGCTCCAGAGCCCCAGTGCCAAAAATGGCTCAAGGCAGAGCTGTCTTTGCAGCCTTGGGGGGCACCAGCCCCCCCAAAGATGCTCCAAGGGTTGTGTTTGGGATGACTTTGCAGGCATGTGTTTGGGAAGTGGCTGCAGTCTCAAGTACTGCTGCAACAACCAGGTGCAGCCACCCTGGGGACGCAGGCACAAGGGCTGTGAGAGCTGTGGCCATGGTGTCTGTGCACTGACAGCAGGGTTTGGATGTGGGGATGTGCTCTGCCAGTGGGGGTGAGCTGCAGGCGGGGGCACAGTGGGGTTAGTCCCCCCTGCCTTGGCAAGTGGCAGCGCTAACAGCATTGTTCTCTTACCCAGGCGTGCCCTGTGGGCTAAATCTTTAACTAGATCAAGGGTTTAACTCTATCAGTGGCTGGAGAAACGTGGCACCATTTCCTTGGGGCAAAGTATCTTGATCCCTGCAGAGATCCCAAAGGAGGTTTCTTTGCCTTGGCCCCACACAGCAGCTCACTGGCACTCAGGTCCGGGCCTTCGGCACAGGGACCTGCAGGATGCTCTGGGGCAGCAGCACCCCATGCACAGATTGGGCTCTCAGATGGCCCCGTCTGCCCCCCCAGCCAGTGTTTGCACAGACCCAGGCACTCCGGCACGGTGCCAGCATTGAGAAACTGGCACTATCCCTTGTACCTGGGCAGGGATTGCCCTTGCAGAGGGAGCACAGGAGGAAAGGCAGTGCCAGAGCAGAGACTTCTGTGTCCCCTCGAGGGGAGCCTCCCCGCTGGCACCACAGTCCCTGTCCCCCTTACCGCCCCCCACACACACTTCTTAGCCCTGGAAAGCCTTCCACAGCCCAGAGCAGGATGATGGATGGCTGCTATTAAGGCTGCAGAACAGTTCCTGTGCACATCCAGGTGGCTCAGCAGCAATTAGTCACCCACCAGCAGGGGAGAGCCTCGTTATCCCTCTGTCCCTGCCAAGGTGGGAGCCCTTCACCATCCAGGTGGGGGTCTGAGGTGCTCCTGGCACAGCCAGAGGGAGCCCCGTCTCCTTGCGGGCTGTATCTGATGGACACGTTCCCCACCAGTCCTTCCTGGGAAAGGGCAGGGCTCTGGCAACAGCCAGAGGGCAGGATTCAGACCTGAGCTGATCCCTGCACCCCAGGGCATCTGTTTTAGGGTAAGGAAGAGGGTTGGCAGCCCCCAGCCCCATAGCAGAGATTTAACCCTGTTAAGGGTGATGCATCCCATGGGGTGGGTGCAGTGAAGGGGCTGAGGAGAAGGAGTAGAGGGATGCCAGGCACAGCTCTAGCCAGGGGCTCATCTGGCAGTACCACGACAGCAGGGACATTGGCACCAGCCGGCTGCCGGCTGGGAAGGGGGGGCCGTAATGACGGTCCATCTCAGCAAAGGTAGCAGAGCATGAAAGCAATTTCACACTTTATTAGACAATTCAGGTGCCGGCTGCGCAAGCCTG